AATCGAGCCTTGAAATGCACTACATAAATAATTGAAACTGAAAGAGTTATAGCTTAATTTCAATGGCAATTTTTGAGGGAAAGAAGCTCAACTCCCTTTGTTATTTTATATATCTCTAACATGATTTACTCCGAGTGCATCCGGTAGATCAAGTCATATCAGAATAGTAGAGCTGCCATATGAGTTAAAAGTGCGCATTAGCACTCAAGTTTTAAATGTCAAAGAACAAATGAAACATAAGTGGTGAACGCAATAAGGATTATTATAGTTCAATCTTCACATACTTCGGGAAAATTCTCCCTCACGTAGTATCATTACTCTTGATAAAGGAATTTTCCTAATGTAGGAGAATGAATGGCTAAATTACGGAGAGTTAACCACGTGAAGGTCAAATGTTAACCACGAATGTATCATTACTTCACTGACGAGTTGAAATCACATTTGAAGAAATTACAAAATTCAATCTTATGAGAACTCGGGGTGTGGGATAGACTTACCTCCACGTGGTGCACCCTGGGCAACGTATACTCATGCGGCAAAAAAGTCTATAAACCGACAGTTGACTTCTGAGTTCAAACTATCATGGCCGCACTGTATGCCATATTCGACTACTTCCACAGTACTCACCTCACCTTTTTCACTCTACCTCTGTGTCCGTCTCTATTACATCTTTGAAACACTCTTCTTTTTCCTTCCCCACTCAATTTTTTTTCACTTTGATGTTCCTTCCATTCTGCGAAGCCTGAAGTCAACTAAAGGGCTAATTATAACTATCATAAAGCCAGCCATTTGATATAAATAAATCTTATGCGAACATGTCAGGCTACCAAAATGGTGAATGAGTCATTGCGAATTCGTAAAGTAACAAAATTAGCTGATTTTCAATCACAAAGAGCGGTTAACTTTCGTTAGATCGCTAAGAGGGCGGTAGTGGGCATTTTAATGGAATTTATCTGCTTTCTACTTGCTTTTCGACTTATTAAGAAGTGAAAAAAGGTATTAATCCAAAAAATTATTTTAAAATAAAGAAGCCTAAAGTAGTAGCTACCAAGACATGCTTACAGGTAACTTAATATTCCTTGTTTAAGCCAGTCCATTAAATACTAAAGAGAGATTAATGGATGTGCTGTCCAATCAGTATTCTCTCTGATATACATATGCGCATCATCTGTGGATCATATGTTATCTATGCTATCCCTTCTAATTATACGGATTATCGTCACATGCCAGATAAAAGGCTTTTTTTCGCGCACACATGTATCCAGCAAACAGATTGATACATAATTACTATAGTTTGTGATTTAACTAAACTGAGCGACTGTTTGGAACATAACTCCGAGTAATGTCGTGTAGTCCCGAAGCAAAACAATTGCGCACTTACGAACAAGACTATTGAGTCGTATTTGTATTCCGATTTTTCTGAGTTTGCCTTGTAATCTTGGAAAAGCTATGTTGGGGACAGCTGTTAGAGATCCTACTAAAGCACATTTTAAATTGAATTAAGGAGAAAATGGTCATTTTAACAAATAATTCCCTCGTTAATTCAGTAGTTTCGATTAGTTAGTTAGATTTCGATCATGGACAATTAGGGCAAATACGAATGAGCCTACAAGCCCCCCTCCCCATTGATCCATTTTAGCATATAGATGGTTTAACATATTTGCAAGGAGTGCCCAATTCTGTCGCTACTCCTACATTAAAACCGATACAAAATATCTGTTTTTCTTTTATTTTTCAATTAATCTGTGGACAATTTTGTGAGTTTGATAGCAGAAATGGACACTGGCTTGAAGAAATTTTAACTTAAGTCATGTTTTGTTTGGGCTGTTCATTTCAATGGCTCTTTTGTTTGATTGGAGAACAATTGTTATTTCCCCGTCACTTATTATTATTATATTTCAGAAAATTGAGTGAGTTTAGATAACCTTCATTTTGCTGAATTGTTACAAAACATTATTGATTCTAACAATACCGGGGTTTTCAGAAAGCCCGCCCAGGGCATTTAAACGGAAAATTCCATTTCAGGAAAACACTTTTGGGATCAGATGATCGCCCATTGGCGGTAAAACAGGAGTAAACTATTTCGCTTACGAAGAACACATATATTTCTCAAGATCGCTATGAAAAAGGGCAGTTTTAGGCAATTGGTTTAACACTTTTTTCTATTAGCATAAAATTGGGTTCATGGCTTGCATTAGACCGGTACGGTGACCATTTGTGACTTCTCTGTTTATCAATGAACTTAATTGACTTGCTGATTAACACCAGTTTCTAACTCCTAAATATTGCTTCATTCAGTGCTCCCCATGGCGTAATGCTCTGACCTTGAGTTGTTTATCAACTTCTTAGTCAACCCGTCAAGGGACTAATGTTCTCACGGCTATAAAAATCTCGTCCAAGCTCATCTATATTTTGGCAATGGGGTGTTTTCAAATGGCAGGCGTTATGATAGGTATCATGGGGTGTGCAATAGACTTATAAACTTACCTCCACGTGGTGCAGCCTGGGCAACGTATACCCCTCCACGTGGTGCACCCTGGCCAACGTATAATCATACGGTCTTACCTCCACGTGGCGCACCCTGGGCAATGTATACTACACCTTACCTCCACGTGGTGCACCCTGGGCAACGTATTCTCATTCGGCTACCTCCACGTGGTGCACCCTGGGCAATGTATACTCATACACCTCCACGTGGTGCACCCTGGGCAACGTATACTCACGATAGACTTACCTCCAGGTGGTGCACCCTGGACAACGTATACTCAAACGGCACCTCCACGTGGTGCACCCTGGGCAACGTATGCTCACTTCAAACTACTAAATCTATTAACTGGCAGTTGACTTCTGACTTCAAACTATGCAAAATTACATTTACCGACAGTTGACTTCTGACTTCAAACTGCCACTTTATTATTCGGCAGTTGACTTCTGACTTCAAACTACCAAAAGTCTATTAACTGGCAGTTGACTTCTCACTTCAAACTGCCATCACCCAACTTCAAACTGCCCACGTGGTGCACCCTGGGCAACGTATATTCATACGGCAAAAACGTGGTGCACCCTGGGCAACGTATTCTCATACGGCAAAAGGTCTATAAAACGGCAGTTGACTTCTCACTTCAAACTATCATCACCCCACTGTATGTCATATTCGACTCCTTCCACAGAACTCACCTCACCTTTTTCTACCCTTGTGCCTGTCTCTTTTACATCTTCAAAACACTCTTCTTTCCTCTCCCCTTATTAAACTCTTTTTCAATCCGATGTTTCTTCCCCTCTGTGAAGCCTGAAGTCAACTAAAGGGTTAATGATAACCATCAAAACGCCTTCTAGTTGATATAGTAATAATATTTTGGTAATGGGGTGTGTGATAGACTTACCTCCACATGGTCCACCCTGGTCAACGTATACTCATACGGCAAAAAAGCCTTGTAACTGGCAGTTGACTTCTCACTTCAAACTGCAACCACCCTACTTTATGTCATTGTCGACTACTTCCACAGTAATCACCTCACCTTTTTTCTACCTTTGTGTCTATGAATCATTATTCTCTCCCCCCTCTCGACTTTGTCACTTTAATGTTCCCCCTCCTCTTCCTCTCTGTGAAGCCTGAAGTCAGCTAAAGAGCCAATGATAACTATAAAAACGCCTGCTACGTGACATAAATAAATCTATTATTGGGGAATTCCATCTGCTCAACGGACGTGCAGTAGCAGATTAAGGTAAAAGAAAGGCGACAGAATAAAACCAAACGCAGATGCCAACTACACACACTTTTATAACATCCAATACAATGACACATCTCCAGTGAACATAGTCATGGAGTGGTGAATTACACAAAAGCGAAGAGGAGGGAAGGTTTGAAAAAAAAGTTACAAAAGAGAAGGGGAGGAAACGGTGTGTATGAGTAGATATGAACCACAATATCTAATTTAATCTTAATTCCTTAATCTAATAGCCCAAAATATGCTTATTAATTAATCTTTTAGTTTGTCCCTAAGTTACAAAGAATGAGTATGTCTCTGTAGTATTTTAAATCCCTGTTTGATTGTGAGTACATCCTATTTACCCTTGATTGACTAACTCCTAGTTCGAACCCCTTTAGCGCAGTCTTACCAACGCTTTCATGGTGTATTTCAACATATATTTATTACCCCACCCCCCATCCCTAAGCTATCCCGTCCCTAACTTACTGTGAACTTAAACCCCTTAAATGCCCAGTTATGATTGAAAGTGAAAAAGAGGAAATAGAGTGGAAAAATGAGGAGAAAAGGCGGGAGAGAGAGATAGAAATAAACAAAACCAGAGTAAACGATCATCAGAGAACAAGAAACGCACTGAAACTTGACAAGACTTGACAAGAAAAACTCAACGAAAAGGGTGGAAAGTTGAAAAAAGCAAGCAGACGAGGAGAAAAAAGATGTTTGACGACTGATGCGAATACAGCGGATAATTTCATCATCTGGCATTAATTTTGTCTAGGGTAACAGGAGAGATGGATAGATCAACAATTGCACACAAAAAAGCAACCAAGAAGGGAGAAAAAACATACCAGAGTACGAGACAGACGCATTTTATAGTTGGGAGATAACAGCATTAAAATTTGAGGTAAACCACAGAGAGAGGGAGGTTAACAAATGCGTTCTTCTGAAGTAGAAGACACTGGAGACGATGTGTCTAGAGTCCATATTGGCTATTTAAACGATTGCGGAGCATCGGCGGACATTGGGACCAAAATTTTTCCCAGGTTTCGTCGCCGACCTCTGTCTTGAAGCCGATCAATATCTACAACGAGAAAGAAGGCGACCATTAGTTTAATGAGATCGAAACCAAGGAGGCTGCGATAATTTAAAAGAGAGGATGTCGATACTACTGATATTTTTGGGAAGGTTATGGCAAAAGGCATGCTCAATTAGTTCCGTAATCATAAGCTTTAATTTACTTGATAACAACTCGCGAATTCCATGTTCACGCGTATGAACAAGGAAGAAAACAAAGTAAAACGTCAAATAAGTCCACAACAAGACTTGAACATTATGGCCGAAATACTCAACCTGGCAAGTTCCACTTTCTAAAATTATACAATCTAATCTTAGAGAAATTCAATCTAGAAGTTTCAGAGATCCGCTTAATACCTTTCAATTCATAATATTGACAAGGCAAACCAGAAAAATAACGATCAGAAGACTCTTACAAAAAATAAAAATATCAAAAAAAACACCAACACCATTTCTATATGCACTAAAAGTTCAAAGCTCTAAAATAATCTTATTCAACATTACAAATTGATCGAAATCGTGAACTGACCGAAAAAAACTTCTGTTTAAGGTCCTCTTTCGGGTTATTCCAAGATGCGACGGCATCGCAGAAGAAGAGGAAGTCATTAATAACACCCTGGGGATTCAAGGTGATGACGTTGCATATTCCCCTGAAAGCACTGTCCTTCTCGTCATTATCGCGAATATTTCGCAGTGATAGACACCTGAAAAAGGGAGCACTGGCATTAGAGCCTTACCTTTAACCAAGTTGGGTCAAAAGGGCAAAAGAAGAAGACTCACCAAGCACGAATGAAGAGAGATAAGAAGGAGGAAATCTGCTGTGGGCAAACGTAGCCCAGGCGACCTATTGTGATGGCTAAAACAAAGAAATCAACCAAGAAAAACTGCTACGGACAATGTTTAATAAAATTGACAATGACTACTTACCGGCGTTCTCATGGAGAGTTTTGGGCGCATTTTGACAGTTGATTATGCGTACGAGCGGTTCAATAAAGAGAGAAGCATAGGGTTGCATTTCTTCACCTGCCGAAAAGGAAGGAAAAGTAAAGGAATAACACGAGTCCATTGCTTTAGACCTGTCTCTCTTACACTTAAAATAACGCTTATTTACTAGACCGTTTATCCGAACCAAAGAATTACCTTATACCATGGTACAATTTTTACATGACAACTGAATATCTTGGTATACAATTCTAATCGCATGTTTAAATGTCCATTCCGTTCCTATCCCTACTTCCAATTTAGCGGATATTTCGCGATTGTTAACTGGAATTACTTCGGAAAGATGAAAGGGAGGTAAAGCCCCCATTTTGGATAAGCTAAGGGAAATGTGATATCGAAACTTGAGTAAGCGAACAAGCTGGAAATGCATAACAGAATCCCGTTTCCGGTATTTCAAACATTAGGCTTCGATGCAGGCATTCTTTGCCAAAACTAGTAAAAATTGAACACAAATGTAAGATTTTCAGTATACATAGCAGCAATTACAACTTGACATGCATATAATATCAGTAATTTAAATAACCTCAAAGAAGTAAAAGTTGGTCTCAAAATCTTTACAAGTTCTATCGCATGAGTTCAAATCCAGAATAAGGGGATTAAGATGAATGCCTGTTTAATAAAACACCAAGTTACCGAAACACCATGAAGCCAGCTTTGTGATGCAAAGATGACGATGGAACATTGTAGAAGTGCATGCGAAGACTACTGGTCAAAATAAATCTGAAAGGAGCCCCAAGTGGCTCAAGAACGCGAAGACAAATCGTTAAGTGGAGATCAAATCCAATGACAATTTTTTTAAACGAATAATTATACTATTTGAACTTTAAACACTGAGAATCACTTCGCATTCACTCACTCAGTTATTGAACAGAATTAAATTAATGCAGAATTGATCTATTTACAGACCTTAAAAGATGCATTCTGGGGGATAGCAGAAGACTAGGATTTGAAGTTTTATTAATAACTCGGTAAATGAAGATTTAATGATATGTAAGGAGGACTCCGATATCGTATAAAAATGTGTAGACAATACAGAACGAAGGTAGTAATTTTGCATTGTCTAAGCTTTGGGTCTCTGATAGATAAACTAGACATTCAGACGACTTTTAAAAAAATTGATTCAAACCCAGGATAACAGTGGTTTATATGGGAAAAGGAGCACCGACCAACCTGATAAACCGGAGAATGGTAGCCATACCAGAATTGGCTAATAGATTCAAATGTCAAAGAAGGCTTGTCCTGATTTTTCCTTAATTAAGGAATAGGTCTGGCTAATTAAGCTATAAGAGAATACTAACGATCGCGATAAGAGTTCATATTTTGATGGGATCAGTAACAATTCCAAGGCACGTTAGTGAAACGATAACCAACACAAATTTTTGATGGGGGGGGGGGGGTTCATGTCGAGAGCCTCGTGTTCTGGCGTCACTTACATTAGCCGGAATTGGCCGGTACTTTTGATTAATCCCAGTGCAAGGATTTCGAATGCGTGATTTCTGGTCCCACAAATGAGCATATCAACCAATAATTCATTATCTCTTTCTCTCACGATTGAATCCTCAATTCATCGCTATTGACATCATAAGAAATAGTACAACATCAATTGCCAAATATAACGACTTGAATCGTACGAATAACCTTGAGAAATTAAAAATGCCATTGAGGTAAAGAACTTCAGGCTTCTCTGAACAAAATTGCATTGAGTCTGGGATCATTTTAAACTAAGGATCCTATTAAGACCACAGCAAATAAATTAAGACGACCAACTCTAGAAAACAGTGATAATTTGGTATGCTCTGAAGTCAATCATAGCTAACTGGCTAACTATATGCTTAGAACACCAACAAGGGCAAATCAGGCACCCAACATCCTCTTTAAGAATAGATTTCCATTAAAAGTCAGTTTAGAGCGGAATTGAAACAGTGATAATCGTAGAATTAGTCAAAGAGAAAGGGTGCGAAAATCGGAGGAAGAAGTGATTGGTAAGTGATCGATTTGGGATGATAATGCCACTTGGTGGACAAAAAATGAATAAACTCACTTAAACAAATAACGGCAGTCGCAACTGAGTAAAAGCAGGAATTCTATCCACCTCCTATTGGCTCAGAGCAATAGCAAGCAAATTAGTACGTTAATGAGCCACTTGAGAGATACTACTATGACATCCGGGTAAATGCTGCAAGTTAGTCGGACAAAATCTAGATCAACAGAGCTAGACACACACTTCCATTTTATTGAGAACTATTGAACGATTAGAAAAAGTCGAATGTGTAAAGCACTGCTAAGAATAAGCCATATGAGAGAAAAATGGTGTGAAGCTCGGAAATAGAGGAGCAAGTGTGCAAGTGTTGCAATGATTAATGCGGTAATTAGCATATAACTAGTTCAACACCCAAAATGCTGCAACAAATACAATCAGCAACCAAGAAGGCCGTCCAGGAAACGAAATCATTGATAAAAATGACTAATTAAAAATGACATCTGCATCCTATAGCTAGAGAAAATAATGACGATAGTGGGATGTTCACTTATTATGCTTAGAAATATAGATACGGCAACTTAGAGAACTGAGACTAGCCAACGTTCATAGTTCTCAATAGCATATTTAAACATAAAGCACAGTTAAAATTAATAGTCGCTTATTTTGCAAGCCTTTCGAAATTCAGCACTATTGAACGCGAGGATGGCTATGAAGGAACATTATCTACAATGGAAGAAGGCACAGAGCAGTTCTCCGATCTGAGACAAGCAAGCTGACCCCCATACTAATTAAGACGAAGAAGGCAGATGCTGCGTAATACGGGGAAATAGATACACAGCTTAGAGGCTTATGGCTGAGTCAAACAGACACCAAAAAGTGGGCCGAATTGACATGCGAACTGAGACAAAAATTGAACGCAGGTAGGAAATAAGGTCATTACAGGCGAATAAAAAGAATATCCGCAAGCACCAATTCCAGTGGTGGCAGGCAATTTTTCCACCAGAAGGTTACCACGAGACCAAACTCCAAAATGCCTTACTTCTACCTAAGGAAAGCGTTATGAAAACTTTCCTCAAGGCACTAGGTAAACATGTTGGGAATGTCTCAAACCAACTATGCGACAAAATGAAAAGTGAACAAGAAACAAACAAATTCAAGCCTCTTTCAAGATCTTGAGGTAAAAATCATAATTACACATGAATTGAAAGCAGCCAGAATAAGTACCGAGAGTGAACCGCTTTCATGTCTTACTCCTAAAACAACAGTAAACTTCGGTCTTGCAAAAATAAGCAGAACTTGACACAAAATTAGAAGAGTAACATACATATGATCGCAATTTGTGTAACCTTTATTCACGTATCTTAAATGGACCCAGCAATCTTTGGATTCACACAACAAACAAACCCCGATTGGATACTTTTACGAAGTAATGGCAGGATTCAACATAGTAAACTGGTTTTGATACACGGTCGTCCGGACATGACTGACACAATAAACTAAGAGGCAATTTGGAAAAGTCGAACTCGATACGAGTCTTACCACTACAATTACAAAAAATGCGCCATTGAACTTAGACAAGTAGACATAAGTAGTGACTTCAAAAGTTAAAAGCTTCAAAACTTCAAACAGGCTTAAAATTGTTCTTCCCAACCGAAACAAAGTAGGGCTTTGTAAAAGAACTTGTATTACAAGAGAAAGATATAAGAGAAAAATCAACTCACCCATTTGCATGCATATTTCTCCAATAGCCCAGATAGCATTATTGCATACGGAGATATTAGGCGAAGAGAGATTTTGGGCTAGAATGTTCATGAAGGCCCCGACTTGAGGCTTGATATGGGCGAAGCAGACTTTAGTGAGATCACCAAGCAATGCAAAGGTGCTTTGTCGCACATCCAACTGGGAATCTTGAGCACATTGATGGAGCAGGCTAATGAGATTACTGTTAACCATAAGAGGTTCGATTTGACTTCCCAGACCTTCGGCTATTCCACTCAGAAGGTCGAGAGACACAACCATAAAGTCTTTGTCTGGTGGCTCGTAGAGATCTGGTTGCTGGGTACTTGCCTAATAAGAAAAATGACACTATAAGATGAATGCATTCTTCTATCCTAATCCCTCTATAAAAAATGGATTAAAGTTGAACCACTCAATTAATTAAAAGAACAACTAACATACACATTGAGGACAGAAATTTGACAAGACGTATAGACGAAGAACCATGAAATCTGAATTACGTGTCATAAACTAGCCCCAATAAGCAGTTAGTGTGGGAAATGCGCCCGAAAATCAAGTGCTTTCTCATAAGGACAGATTTTTAATTTCCTGCCATTTGGATTAAAATAATAAGATGTCTAAAATTGTTAAATCTAAGATACACTTACATAACCCCCACAGGAATTTCTCAGATTAATTTTATTACATGCGTTCACCTCCTAAGTTTGTGTATTCTTAAATGAAGTAACCTTTAAACAAGGAGTCAAAAAATGAATTGTAGTAAATCCTGAGGCGTTAGAAATCATACAAACCAGGATTATAAGAGGAAAAATGTCCTTATCTTCTACAAAGCGTTTTATGAATCTGGAGATGGGAGTGGTCTCCTCAACCAATCTTTTAAACACAGTCAACTCGGATTCATTTTTCTACTCAGATGAATATGAACTCAACTTTAAAATATGAAATGAATACGAGCGTTTGCTCCTAAAAGAACGATTAATGAGGAGTGAAGGAAATGTCTGGGACCGTGTGTGGTTAAAAAGAGAGTGACAGACTTCAAGATACTGATCAGAGCGACCCCAGACGACCAACCTTCAACCCAATTAAGAGGCTGGACGATCCAGAAGAGATATTAATCAATAAATCAAGGATAAACTCTAATTCTAATATATGGACTTAAAATGAAATGTGAAAATACAATAGTCAATAGCACCTTCATTTAAATTAGACAACGATAAAAGAGAGTAGGACAACCATTGTTCTCAAATAGCCATTACCCCATCGATACATGTCAAAAGTGAATGTTAACACATCCAGACAAATTTTAAATGACTGACTCAAAACATCGATACATATCCAACTAGCAAATAATGACCGCCTTAGATTTTGTATTCGGAGTTAGTGATACAAACATAAATATCCATCCACTCCTTTTAATTGGATTCTGAAAAGCTGTAAACTATTTAGCAGCATGAAAATAAATAATCAGTACTCGAAGTGTAAACCTCTACTTTCTAGAAAGAACGCACATACCAAGGCCATTTACTACACCATCAGGTTAATTAAAACAGAACACCAATGCCAAAAGTCAGAGCCCAACGAAGATTCCTCGAAAGAGGGAATGCCAGAAGACCATAACTCCGCCTATGGAAGCGTCAAAATTAAGAATCAACGAACGGGATAATAGAGGAGAACCTTGACGTGAAGATCAAAATATTCCAGGCTAATCGTTTACATCTGTCACACTAACCAATAAACTAACACCTATAGAGAGTTGAACGAGTTATACACAGTTAATTCACATATTAAAGAAGGATTATGCACACAGACAATGTAACATGTTGTAGTCCGCAATAGTTAATAAGAAACAGAAAAATGAAAGAGAAGAACTAACATCCTTGGTTAAGACCACCAACTGCCTGTCCGATTGTGCTTTAAATCTTATTATACTTCAGTTGGACTCTTTCAACACGAGTTCCGGATATTGTATAACAATAATTAGGGAGCATTTTAGGCTAAAAATTAACTGAAGTGTGCAAAAAAGCATTTCCGACAAAATTAACTCATATCGTGGTGGAACACACTAGAGAAAATGTGTACTTATGTTAAGGTCAATAAAATATAGATAGAAATAACTCCAATTTAAATATTCTAAAAGGTCTCCACTTTCCCCAGGAAAGGATTTTACAAATATCTATAAGATTAGGCTCTTGACCTACAACAACCAAAAGCGAATGAAGGAAAAAATTACTCAAAACAAATGTGTTTTAAGAACTCAGCAATAAGGGAAAAGTAAGCAAATGATAGCAAAATTAATGATCCGATCTGGACATCGGAGTAAGAATTAACTGGGGCAATGCTAACACATGGACACTGAAGAATTGGAAATGAACTATATCCGTAATATAAAAAGTACAACCTACACCTCCCAAATGAATTTCAAAAAAATTCAATGTTCTGACTTCAGCTCCTGCTTTACCCCATCTATTCTGATAGCGCGTTGAGTTTAGATGATTTATTACGAAGAGTTGAGAAAATTAACATTGACGTAAACAATGATCCATGGTAAAACTGTTCAAGAAAAATTGAAATAACATTAATAGCCGATTCAAATTCAATGCGTAGACGGAGCGTTAGTGATTGTAAATAATCGCATAGCTAAAGGTCAGGGACTAGATTTTCCAGAGTGTGAAATGGACAACAACTATAGCCAGAGGGCCTCTAACCAGGTACACATCAAAAGAAAAACATCAAAGAGTAAAAAGTTAGAGGAATGTGTAAATAAAGAAGTTTGCAATTCAATGCTCAAATAATCGTGAATGCAATAACTGAGAAGGCAAACAATGGTCTATGGAGATCAAATTCTTTTGAATAACCAAATAATAGTAATAACTGAAAGGCATGGTGAAAAAAGAATAAAATATTCAGAAACTAAATACGAGCGATTAAATCAGGCCCCAAAATAACCGTTTTTCTTAACGGCACAACAAGAAAAACAATAAATACAGTACACATTAAATGAGGAAATACTGAAAAAGTTCATCAATTGCAGCTTGATTTAGGATAAAAGCTAAACCAAATGTAAGGAAAATTTGATAAATAAAAATACGCCACGGAAAGTAAATTTCTACCAATAAGCCTATTTGCCATGAAATAAGCTTCAAAAGGACAGAAAAGTAGAGAAAACTTACATAGCTCTGCTGAATAGTTTTTTCAACTAGAGCCACACATCGATTGAATACAGGAGCGCAGTAGGGAAGAAAACCAACTCCCAGGGCCGTAGCAACACTAGAAAGACATTCAAGCAACGGGAAGAGGTCCTTATCATCATCCTTAAGACTATTCCACTTCTCAAAGAGTGCTGGCATTAGTAAATCCTTATATTCTTGTTTATTCAAGTTGTGCCCAACAGAATCGGCAAGTGTGCCAATGGCATCATAGAGAATTATAAGATTTTTGTGCTGATATTTTGATAGTGCGGTAACTAAAGTTCGCAGAATATGCTCCAAATAAGGACATAAATCAGTTCCTGCTTCCTCCTCAAGTGTAGCGAAGGCAGAACACGCAGATTCCTGAACCCGCTTATTCGTGTCCAGAATTCGATTCAATAACTCACCCACAAGGGGCCTCAGGTATTGATCATGCGGTTGCCCGACAATCCAGTTAGCATATCGACTTAGTGTCCAGCACGCTATACTCCGAATGAGAGGCTTTTGATCACTAAGCGCTTCAATGAAGATTCTGCAGAGATCTGGAAGGTAAGGAACCATATCATTCATACATCCTTCGGATATAGCCCCGAGGACCAAGATAGCCGATTCTCTGTATCGCCAGTCGCTAGAAAGAAGGTATTCCTTGGTGGAAGGAAGAAGATATTGAAGGATTTCGCTGTGGAATACATTTGCGAGAAGGTCCAAAGCAGCTGCCGAGCACTTTCGAAGCGTCCAGTTGCTGACGTATTCATCGCTGTCATCAGAATCACTGTCTTCTCCACCATCATCACTTTGCATTCGATTTTTCGACTTGTGGAATCGCGGTTTGATATCACTGTCTTTGTCAGGCACATGAGAGTTGTTATCTAGATCATTCTAAAAAAAGAAAACATTGAAAGGGAAAGTACAACCTACGCTAAGAAGAGCAAGATCACTTTCAGAGTACTGCATTCCCTTTACAAGGACAGGGATAAGCCGATCAAGATAACCACTTAGTACTTGAAAGCATAGAGGAGCATCCGAAAGAGATAACCAAAATTCACAAGCTTCCAACGCAATCGTTTCATCTTCATCTTGAGTTCGGAGAAGGATATACTATAAAATAAGGGAAATATACAACAATGAATGACTTACTTCAATAATATTGGGAAGGTGTGGAAGAAGTATTTCCACCTGAGCCTCAATAAGAAAGACCAAAGCGGTACAGACGAGTTTCACAACTTCTTTTGAAGAATCATCGGCAAGTTTAAATAAGGCCTGAAGGTATTCCTCTAAGTGATTCTTAAAGGCACGAGATGAGTTGGTAATAAACTGATTGGCACAATACAGCGCAAGCGATCGAAATTTAGGAAGTGGATGAGAGAAAAAATGAATTAATTTAAGTATTAAGGCATCCAAAACACTAAGGAGGCTTTCATCTTCCAAGTCCTCTTTTGAATCCTCACAGATTTTTTTTAGGGCATCGAAGGTACCTTGAAGGAGGTAGGGATCATTGCTATCGAGACTTTGAAGAAGTTGAGGAATAACCTCGGGCCAGGAATGAAGACCACCGAGACTAACTATCGTGGTAATAAGAGTGCCGGCCGTTGAGCGAATGAGAGGATTTGGATCATTCATGCAATTTAGAGATTCCTCCTTGACAACGGAAATTACATCTGGAGGCTGATTGGAGTAGGTTGTGGTTAAATGATTTTTTAAGATCAATCCCGCAACGGAACGGGTGTATTCGCCTATATTTGTAAGAATAAAATTTGAACTCACTTTCACTAGGGAATTTTGCAAAAATGAAAATTAGGTATTTCACAAAATCCGGCGATTCGATCAAAGAATTGAGCATCTAAAGAATTAATTCATAAAAACAACAAACCTCGTGGACGCGTCTTTGAGCAGTAGTATCTCCAGTTTGAGATGTATGCAAGAGGTCAAGAATACCGTTTAACTCAGACTCCTGGGGAAACCAAGCCATTGAGAGGCTATACTAAGTGACTTAAAGACAAAATGATCGCTACCCCCTGAGTGATTTTAAAGTGATAATATAAAACCCGACAATTGAAGCAAACGATATTTGTCATTCATTTATTATGACCATTATTTTATTATATGTAAAAACTATTAGTTTAGAATAAAGTATAACAATATATGTGCTTTATTTAACGAGTATATTTTAAATATTAAAAAGATTAATATTTATTTTATTATAAAATCTCTCAAATAATTTTTTTAAAATTTTTTTACTGTTACTTTGAATGACCTGTTATTCAGTTCGCAGCTTTTGAGACCACATGCTTGATTGAAATGGATGCGGAGGAAGATCAGATTCTATTTTTCGAAAACAGTTTGTTAGTTGTCGAAATTACTTTTGAATTGTGTTATTTCTTTATTTTTCATGTTAATTTTATGTTCAACAGATGGAAGCCTCCAATTAATTTATCGGATTGCTCTTCCGAGTATCTAAAGGATAATGTCATTCCTTATCATCTTTTAAAGAATCCTTTTAAAAAGGAGAAACGTGAACATATTTCAGAAGATTATGAGAATCGGATTTGGAGTCGTCTTGGGTTACTCAATGATACTGATACCAGGCTGATTACTTCTGATGGTCCCAGCTCTTCAACTCACGAAGCATGTGTACCTGTATGTGTTCTTGTTTTGTGACGTTATTTTCCTTAGAGTCTTTACTATACCAAGGCCAGTAATCCAATTCTCTCTAAACGCGAAATTCAACGGCAGCGCAAATTAGAGAAACGATCCAAATTGGCTGGATGGTTTGACCTCCCGAGAGGAGATTTCAATCAAGAAAACAAGGACGATCGTGAGATTGTTGCTATGCGAAATGTTCTTAGTAGTGATTTACACACCCGCAAAGCTGATGGCCGCAGAGCTCACTTTCATGTAATTTGTTTATTGCTTTAGTCTTAATTGTTCCGTTATAATGGAATCATTTTTCACTTTGCTATATTTTAGGTGGGTACTATTGTGGACGATCCTGGATCATTTTATGATCGAGTTCCCCGTAAGCAACGCAAGAAAAATTTGGTCGATGAATTGTTGGCTAACGCTGAGTACATGAAGTGAGTTTTTCTCTTCTCCTTGGTTTGCTATCAAACTCAAATCGATTGTCTTTCTTCATATCTCTTATTTGATCTTTTAGGAAACAACGTCGCCAATACGCCAAAATTCAGAAAGAAAAACAAGAAAAACGGGCAGCGGCTCTGCGAAAGATGAAACAGCAACAAAAGAAGGCTGGTCGTATCAACAGGGTTGAGGTCGATTCTTAATCTATTTGTAAATAAATCTCTTATCCATGCTTAGTAGTACTTTTATTTATCCTTTTTACCTGCAGTTTTTAGTTGGTCTTTTTGCTATTGTGGTTCCTCGAAGTACGTTGGACGTTTTTGATTATTTGAACTCTTTTTAATATCTAAGTTGGATGACATGCAATCCCTGTTACTGGAGGCGAGCAATTCGCTGATGTGCACAATTGAGTGTTATTTGAATTTACTGTATTTCGCTGAAGGAATTTTTAATGCTTGGCTTGCCTCCATCAATGCAATGCTCTGAGAGACATCGGGAAGCAGGCAACTACCTGAGTATTACTTATGCAATATAAAGTGTATATTTGTAACAATTGTTGTGGGTCTTATTATCTTATAAACATAGTAGATGGGATAGGACGTATGATATGACTATTATAAATGATTCATTAAAGATAAGCAGTATATTGTAATGCCGTTGGCCTATCAAGTGGATTGCTCGATAGTATCATGAGCATACATTTACCTTGTTCGTCATTTTATGCCACTTATAATGTGGTTGTAAAATTAATCTTATCGCATAAATTTCCTATGCCCACAGAAGTGAGCTCAGCTTACTAGTTCTACTAATCGTTAGTTTATCTTTAAAGGTAGTCAAACACTAGCCGCTTAGCTTCAAGGAGTGTTCGGTCCGCCACGCAGTCACATGGATTTGGCTGAGACCAATCGCGATGTGGATTATTCACCTCGATAAAGTGATTATGTTGTCGGTTCCTTTCGAGTTGACACTTTTCACCTAGATCTGACTCTATGGCCGAAATTGGAGATAACATTCCAAGATTTGATGGTTTACATAACGTTACCTTTTGAAATACTTATAACACTGATAACTCTTGAAACCATAAGTTCAGCTCGATTTGTCTATATTTTTACTTTTACGTCACAAATTGAGTTGATAAATTGCTCGTAAAAAATTGCCTCAACCCCAGTTAATTAAACAAGGATGATAATTTAAAAATAAGAAATTTTATTGTTCGCAATATAATTATCACTAATAATAATAATAAGTTCAAATCACCAACATTAAAATGGGAAGTAAAGTTTCGCTCATTTAGGTGATAAGATCATGTTTCGTAGACTTGAGAGTTCGATACACTTCCGCTTGTGTATCGTTTGGGAAGAAATATACACCAGGGAAAGAGGATAAGTTGTGCTGTAGGGATCTACCTACAAATGTTAGTGTGCGGCACCGTTCGCGGTAGGTGTAGGGCCATGGTGATCGACAATTTTCGAGAGTTTTGTAGGCACAGCGTCATAGCATCGGCAGGCATTGGCGAAGTTGGCTTCCAATTGCTACAAATAAATTAAAAAAACATGGTACGCATTTATTTTAAAGACAAATTAAAATTAAAACCGTTATATACATGATGTGATATTGGAGAAAATTAGACTTGTTATATGAAATAAGTCAAAAAACATTTAGTAAGTAGAACACAAACTTGGGGATTAATGAATATATTCTAACACCCACATGACTAACTCAAGCTCAAAGGGGATCGAGTGCGATTAAAAATAAAGAAAACATTTTGATTTAAATGAGCGATTTCCATTGAGAACATAAAAGGAAGATAGTGGATTAAGTGATCTCTTGGTAAAACGACAATTGTTAAATCTAACGATGAACAAGAGAGCTGTATGAGCCTCTGATGGAGGTGCCAATAACACTCGACTCGGGTAGGTAGATGTATCAAAAAAGCTGAGTGCCCTCAACCATCAACCCGCTTTATCTGTATTGACTAGTACCGTTAAACATACACATCATAGCAAATACGTAGAGGAAAGTTTTCTATTCAGACCAGTAAGCCGAGCACTGCGTTATTGGTACACACTACTCCCAATAATCATCTTGCTGAAAGAAAAGATATCATAGGCTACTTCTAGTTAAAAAGCTCGAAAGGTTTATCATTTCATTCAACGACTATGGAGTGGTAAACTCGTGATCCTCCTTTTAGACATTAAAATAAACGCCAACAACCTACTTATTACAATATAAGTAGAATATTATGTAAAAGTAGATTGGCTCTAAAGTTGGCGAAATACATTCACATTCATGCGCTAATTTGATCCAAATAGAAGTAGGAGGCAGTAACAAGGTCACACGATCACCTACAAGGCGAAAAATGGTGGGAAAGGGGTGAAAGAGGTCAGATAATCCACTCCACCGTCCGCATACGTGGACGCTTGTTAAAGTGTTATGATAAGAGGCTTTTCCGCAACCATCGTGAAATTCGTGTAATCACACATGCGTGCCAATGACTTTGTATTCCCTAATTAGCATAAGAAAACGGTTTGGCTCCGGTAATTACAAATATACGCTTGGGAAATTTGTACTTATTTCACAAAAAACCATGGAATATAATTTAGTCTATTCAAATCAACTCCTCTTTATCAGTTTTAATGTATTTATACAAATAATAGCAATCAAAACCACCGATCAAGGAAATTAAGAACAGATTATATTCTCCATGCTGACAGTAGTTCACCTCTCGTCAAAGTCTTTAACAAAAGAGGACGTAAAGACGAGTAATTACTATTTACTGACCAAATTGGAAGGAAAGGCGTTCGGGCTTCACCAAATGTATCACTGCAAGATAGAAAACGGCAGTGGAAATGTTCTTATTCGGAGAGAGGGCGTAGGCCCGGTAAAAAAGGCTAGGCAGTGAGGCTTAATCAATGATAATTAGACAAACGGAGGAACTTTGCAGACGGTTTAGAAGGTAAGGAATGATCCATAGGTATGACCGAATGTAGTTCGAAATAGGCCAGACAACAATTAGGATAAAGACTAACTGGGAGGACAGGTACGAAAGATCACTCTACATACTGATTTGCGGTAGATAAATTTAATGAAAGAAATCACACTCCATTAAATGCAAACTTTCAACCTGATGGGTTGAACTACATGAGAAATTTTATTAACCCCCAACTAGAAAGTGCAAGCGTATGCTTAATCTAAAAAAGTTAAACGTTTAGGTGACAAAAAGTGGATGGAACTGCATGGGAATAATGGTCGTAAAAAATCAAATCTTCCTACTAAATTATCAATTGGTATATCTATAGTTCTAAATGTGGCCTCGTCTTCAACTAATACATTGCTTGTTTACGGAAACAGTTGTTGATGGCCAAGAGAAACAAAGCCAAATAAAACATACTGTCAACCGAGAACCATGGCTGCATATTGCAATGGCTTAATTAAATTAGGGGAGATGATACAGAGGCTAAAATACAGTCTCCACTAGGCAAAAAGAGAAGCACAGGATACAGTCACAAATGCACAGGTAGAAAATTCGAGACATCCCGCGTTCTAACGCGGGGCCGCAACATGCTTCTGGTCCTAGTGACGACAGGCGAAATCAAGCTAGATTCCACCATTTGTTAACTTAGTGAAACTATACTTAAACCTACCCACAGAGATACCATAATTTTGGCGGCACATTCTTTAGGTAATATCCCCAGGTCTTCTGATATTTAACCGCAAAGAGAAAGAGAGTACTCGGGTTACATAATGAAATCAATTGCATTCCCCATCTATTTTACCCCACAACTGGAAAACCTGGTAAAATATGGGCAAAGCATTAAATTACCATTATTTGGAAGTAGTGAATAGTCAATAAGAGAAATTGGCAGATTCCATAAGGAGTCACAATAATTATAAAGCTAAGTTAGTTCTTTAAGTTAATCCAATCAGAGAAGAGCTGTCAATTAGGACTACAGACCACCAACAAGCTAAGCGAAATTAAGAGATGAGCTGAATAGATAAAAAGTACAAGAGAAACCAGACTGAAAAAATAGTATTTTTTTTCGAAACCAACTCAAATTACATAAACGAGACATGAGAAGGCAACTTCGAATGAAGGATGAGGAAATAAGGAGTAAATGTAAAAAGACATTGAGTGACTACGTAATACGACTTAGTAAAAAATAACAGGTTGATGGATCGACGTTTAGACGCATCGATGTTATAACTGCAAGGCATAATAATTTCATTGAAGTAACAAATGCCCATTTTATTGATTACTTTCCTTATATCCCCAAATATATAATTTCTGATTAATAAACTAGACTTGTTGATTTAACCTCACACAAAATCATCATCACGTGCAGATTCATGAAGAGATGAATAATGAAATCTGATGATGAAGATGAAATGAGTCATGAGAAAAAGCCGCCAGTAAAAGCGTGCCACATGACAAGAAGGGCAGAGAGAAAGGTAAAACTCTCTTTAAAAGAAAAAGAAACAGAGGAAAAGAATGCGTCAAAGACCGAATGTTAGCCACCAAACAATGGCACCCACGATCTCGAAAATGTGGAACAAATTTACTACTAACACAATGCATGATTTTATATTTTTTAAAGAGCGTTTTCAGGGGAAAAAAGAATAGCGTCTTGGAACCTCTCTCGTTACGCTTCCAATGATCAGATTCAAACGATGTGATTGGCTGTTTGAATTACTGAATGGATACCGATGAATGAAAGCACACAAATAGACCATCCCTATTTCTTCAATAATGACCAGTTAGGTAAACAATGAGTCTCGAATTCGCCCAAAAACAATAGCACGCAAGGCAGTACACGCAGAAAGAGGGGTTCGTTCCTGCTGCAAAGGCTGATTTACACCTGAACACATATTATTAAACATAGAGCCAGTTCCAAACAAATGTTTTTCGTCAGCTTTCGAATGAATTAGAAAAGATGTGTTCAAAATGCGCTACAATAAAAGGAAAGCAGATGAATGCTATACAAGGCATGAGTCTTGAGAGAGAAAGGGTTGCTCGAAGGCAATTTATTTACTAAACAAAGGATTAAATATGGGAATACGTGTCTTCTTCACAACGTTGATTTTAGCCGGATAAAAAAATCATCGAACAATCAATTTTCAAGCTATAGCAATTCGATTTACACAACTTGATAAAAAATAATCATGGCAACACGTGAAATTCCCTTATGTAAGCAGAAGCACAAAAGAATAGCAGAGCTAGTCAACCTTAAACGCAAAATGCCCACAAAAAGCAAAGGGTAAATAATACGCCGACAACGAATAGGCTTCCACTGCTATTTATAAAAAACGACCTACATTAAAAGATAGTTCAATTCGTAGAAAATTGATATTGAAGTAAAGAAAAAGTCGTCTAATAAGAGTCATTATTATATAAAGTTTGAAAAGAGTGCAGGATGACTTACAGCGACCTTTTGTAGGAGATCACCAACCAAATTAAGGGCCGTAATCCGTGTGGAGGGGGTAAGCGGACGAGGTAGAGTGGATGGGACAGCAGGCAAAGAGGGGGTACGCATTTGGCCTTCCGTTTGCATACAGGCCTCGGTGGTATCTACCACGTTGGACAAAAAATAGTTAGCCATGGTTTAGATATCTTCCTAAACATCCATTCATAAAAAATTAAAGGAGTTTAAGAAGAACGAATGATACCGCAAAATAATAAAGTTGATTGAGCTATCATCCCCTCTAATAAGGGGTTCCAATAAGATATCGAGCATTTTAAAAAAAATTTCCAACGCCAAACCAGAGAATACGTCAGACAAACATCGAATGATACCCTTCTCTCATAAGGACTTGAATGTCCACGAGACTATTACTTAAGCCATTAGCAAAATGTATGGTCAGGTGCTTACACTTCACCAATACCAATTTTAGTTGGGGAGATTTGAATCGCAATAGGAATTCAAATATAGAGGCAAAGTCATTACTACCTTCAAAGTTTGATTACGATGAGTTAAAAAATCCCTGGTTGAATCAAATCCACAGACAACAGAAATTCGCACGCAACTGTGTATCAACCCTCCCAGGGGTTCAGATACAGTAATGACAATGAAAGAGTGAGGACTTAAAAATTAACTCAACTCGAAAACTGAAAATGGAATATTTTGAATCAAAACACCAAATCATGGATTTTCTCATGAAATACGCTCCAGACATAAATCAAGATGAATATAAGGTTGCCATCATTACATTATCATATATACGACAAAGCTGATCTGTTATGTTCTATTGGCATAAGGTATTTCAAAGCAGATTTTAAAGAAATTGGCAATTGAAAATTCATTTTGAATTAGCTTCAGTGGGACTAGTTATAATGAAAATGTGTTAATCTTAATTACCAGATCTATGATTTAGAAAGAAGCGGGCAACTCAAGGTTACCTGATCAACAACTTAAGCAATTCTGATAACAAAAGAGCTCTAAAATTCGCGAATATGGATTCGCAAACAAACCCGGAGATTAAATAATGAAATCCGAGAATTGGAACATATGAATAATAGAAAGCAAATAATGGCGCTTGTGAAAAAGTGCCAAATTCAATGCTCCCGCCATTGCAACCTCTTACTTAGTAGATCTTTTCATTGCCAATTGAACTAATTTGTCATTTCATTAAAAAAACTCCAAGAAACTTTCACCCAGAATAACCAAACAAAGCGAAAAATGTACATAGACACGTATATACATAACAAATTAAACTAACCTCGAATTATATGGTCAACTGGAATTTGAGGAGGAATAGATTTTTCCGGGGTTATAGGAGCACGGGACCGAATGTTAAGCTCCTGATTCAATTCTCTAACTTCGTCTTTAAGCCTCTGAATACAAACATTAAGTTCCTCCTTTTCATATAATTCCACTTCAAGCAACGCATTCTTTTCAAGAACCTGATTCAGCCTATCCTCAATATCCCCAATTGAGGCCAGGGCATTTCGATTAGATCGCTCAAGGTCATCATTGGCCTGCTCTAATTGACGGATATAGTCCTTTCTATGGGCGGATTCTGTCTTGAGGTTGTTGACTTCATCTTGTAAATTTGTGATTTGCCTATTAAGTCTGGCAACTACTGCATCATGCTTTTCCTGTGGAAATAAATAACTTAATATGAAATTCAACTAACATAACTAGTCTCATTCTCTATAGTAATACGTTCCAACTTGGCTTGAAGTTCAGCGTTACTCTTCTCGAGCAAATCCAATTGGGTTTCGAGCTCAGATTCCAATTCTTTAGAATTAAACTGAAACTCTTTGAATTCTTCTTTTTCCTCTTCCCATCTAGTACATATACATAAGAAAAATAACATATATTACAATTGCTTATATTCTTCGGCCTTTTGTTTCCAGTAATTTACATCAGTGATTTCGGAGGCCATGACTTGTCTAAAAATAAAAATTACAAGAATAGCAATAGGAATCAAATTCAATTCAAAACAATATAACGCGAAATTAATAAGGATCGATTCCATCAACAGTTAAATAAGATAAATCAAGTTTTTTTAATAAAAGCCAACTTACATATAAGCATAAATATAACTCAAAGTGAACCGGTGGATAGAAGATTTAGATAGTTAAATGTTAGGCTTATTGCGCGAGTTATGTAAACAAAAGTGTAAATAGATCTGAATAATATTAATTTAACTCTTATTTTATGATATGATTTTAATTTTTATTTGAATAATTGTATAGAAAATTAATAAAATTGTCAACTTAATTCAGTAATCTGAACGTTCTTCCTGTTTTTCCACTGATATAAAAAATTGAACCATTGGTTATATTTTTTTGATTGTTGTAATATAAATCAGAAGTAAACTGGGGACATTTATGAAATCATAGTTTTCAATAATGATGGAGTATTGATGATATTACTTTGCAGAACCCTTAATTGCATCGAAGATTTTTCAACGTTGCATTTAGATACTAGTAATATGTTTTTATTTTCATTTGAACTAATTTTGACAAATCAATGTATTTACTTACAAATAACGAAGCCTTCTTTTAATGAAACAGAAGTTATATATGCCTTAGTTCTACTTAAAACACTCATTGCTACATTTCTATCATAAATTGTAGAATAAATTATGTTTAGTTTTATGGGGTATGTTATAGACTTACCTCCACGTGGAGCACCCTGGGCAACGTATGTTCATACGACAAAAAAGCCTAATGACTGGCAGTTGTCTTTTCACTTCAAACTGCCATCACCTTACTCTATGCCATATTCGACTATTTCCGCAGTACTCACCTCACCTTTGTTCTACCTTTGGGTTTGTCTCTTACATCTTTGAAACACTCTTCTCTTCCCTCCCCCCTCTCAATTTTTTCTCACTTAGATGTTCCTTCCCCTCTGTGAAGCCTGAAGTCAACTAAAGGGCTAATTATAACCATCAAGACGCCTGCCATTTGATATAAAATAAAATGTTTAGTATTATTACTTAAAACTAATAAAATCATATAACATCTATTATATTTGCAATTAAAATTGTCTATTAATTATGTCACGAGTCTAATCTGTGCGTTACCCTTTTAGAACTTTATGATATTCTACTAATTACAAGTCCATTTAATTTAACCTTTTAACTATCGAAAGCTGCATTCTTGACAAGATTATATCGAACCACTAAAGAAAATTAAGCTTAGAAATAATTCCCAAAGTTCTAGTGGATAAAAACATCACGGGTTCAAACCTTTGTAACAAAAATTGTATCATTTTCGATAAGCTATGTGGAGTTGATTGAATGCATCTATTCTTCGTTCGACGAATATTCAGATATAACTCAACGGGTAACTAGGAGTGCGTTGATATATGATAGAAAATTCGATTTTGTTTATAAATTGTATCATCTGTTAAATATTGCCAAACTAAAAACTGTAAGACCCTGTTTTCAGCATTTAAATGAATTAATTTTAGCTAACTAATTTCAACTTTTCCGAGTCCTTATGCTGAAATCTTAGTAAATGGTTCGAAGCTTCGTTTTTTGATTTGATAAGTTAATATGATTACAACTTTAAAAGAGAGAAGCAAATAGAAATTTCGATGTGTTTTGGAAACAGACTTCATAGAATTGCTTTGTAAATGTAAAAAGTTCTGGTGTCCGGAAAAATATGATAAATAATCAAATTGACATCTTAAATAACTCCTTAATTTTGATTTGGTAGCATTATGAGCGCTTCAAGCTAAGGTCGCATCTCTCCGTGTGGTCAGCTCTGCAGAGGCCTTAGATTATTTCGGTCTGAATGGTCTCGTTTCCATAGATAACCTCTTCGCTAGAATCTTGTTTGAATTTCCCTCCATCTTCCACCTTCAATCGGGGGCTTTGGAGCCAAAGCACACTGTCCACCATCACATAATTACCAAAAGGCAACCAGTTTTCGCTGGGGCTCGTCGCCTGAATCTCGATAAACTACCTTAGGCATCGTTCGTCCTTCAAACGGTCCATGGGCTTCTCCTTTGCACATGGTCGCGAAGAAAAACGGTTAATGGAGACCATGCGGAGACAAGATCATTATCCCATACGCCACATCCATGATTTTTCACTGCAATTGCATGGCAAGGTCCTCTTTACCAAGCTCGTTCTAATGCGAGCATGTTACCAGATTTCTACGGAATCATGGTTAACCCGAGAAGTACAAATTCGGTCAAGCTGAAATCGATTTTCAGGGTTATAACATCAACGGTTGTGGAATCGCACCTTTATCTGAGAAAGCACGATCGATTATAGACTACCCTGTTCACCAATCGGTGAGAAGTTTGCGTTGTTTCCTAGGCGTTGTAAATTATTACGGATGCTTCATTCCCAATTGTGCCAAGATACTCCAGCCTCTAACAGATTTGCTCAAGGGTAATCCGTAGCATTTCAAGATGACACCAGAGGCCGAATCAGCATTTTTGCTAATAAAAAACAGCTACCTGCGACGACTACGTTGAATCATCTTGATATCTCCAGTGGAACTTGCATTATTTGGTAGACCGACGCATCCCAAGTGGCAGTGGGAGCAGTCAAGGGTGAAATGCGATCCCTGTCCATTTTCTCCAAAAAGCTCAGTGCTACATGGATGCGTTACAGAACGTTAGACCTAGAACTGCTCGCCATCTATTTGGCAGTCAAGCACTTCCGCTATATATTGGAGGGACGCCAGTTCCCCATTTTCACTGACCATAAACTCATATTTTATGCTTTTCGACCACGGCAAAACATCACTCTCCCAGAGAAACTCGGCATTTGGATTACTAACGACATATCGATGGTAACAGCAACGTTGTCACCGACGCATTGTCCCGTTGAACAGAGGTCAACTCCAGAGTTTACCGAAATCACGACCAATCCTTCGCTACGTTTCAGATGCTTATCCATACCAGACTCCAACACACTTAACCATTTTGACGTTTCAGTCGGCAAGCCGAGATCATTCGTCCCGCAAGCACATCGCCGGAAGATTTTCAACCATTTACGTGGATTGTCGCACCCGAGCATTCGTTCAACACCGACGTTGATCACTGACCGTTTCGTTTGGAAGAATATACGACAGGACATTCGATACTGGCCATACATTGCCTTAAGTGCTAAGCTAGTAAAGTTCATTAACACACTCAAAGCCAATTTTCTAGTTTCCATATACCGGTAGCACGTTTTCGACATATTCACGTCCATATCGTAGGTCCACTTCCTCCATCAGACTCTTTCACTTATTTCCTGACCTGCATTGATCGTTTCACACGTTGGCCTGTCGCCGTTCCCAAGCTCGATACCTCGTCTACATCGGTGTCAATAGCCCTGATAGAGTCTTGGATACCCGTATTCTGCGTTCCTTCAGTTACCACTACAGACAGGGGTTGCAGTTCACCTCTGCCTTATTTCGCGAGTTAAATCACTTTTACGCTTGAAGCATATTAACCCCACCTCTTATTATCCGGAAGCCAATGGACTCATCGAACGATTTCACCAGCAGCTTAAATCAGCAACTATTACCACTTCCTCTCTCGATAAGAAATACTGTTAAGGATTATCTTGAATGCTGTCCGGCTGAACTCGTACTCGGCACGACTCTAAGGCTTCCTGGAGAGATGATTTCCAACACCCAAGATAGACCCATCGTAGACCTATTCTCGTATTCCGCCCACATTAAAGAGCATTTCAGATCCGTTCTACCAACACCCACCTGTCAGAACACTTGTTATTTCACGAACATTTGGTCCAGAAACAAGGTGGATGTAGGTGAGCAACACTGATACTATAAATATCGATTCATTTTATTCCAAAAATCCTCCTCGCATGGTGCGTTGGGTAGAAATGATTGTAGTTTAACTTTTGGACTTAAACGCCCTGTAAGATCCAGCCCAATATTCTGACCCTCTATGTATCGTTCAAAGACCAAATTGAATTCCAACTTTCCAGACGGAGCCTTTTTGTTAAGGTGTGCACAACTCACAATTTCAACTACTGTATTTGGATAAACATTGAGATTCCGACTTCGTAAATTAAAACGCCACCAGTATCTAGACCTTTTAATGATCAAAATCACATTTAGAATTTTAATAACGTAATTTTGGTAATAAATGGTGCTTTTATTTTGCATTAATGAGATCTTTATGATAAAAGGGATGATAGCGGTCAAATTTGCATTTATTGAAAGAGTTCAACGAGGTGAATTATTGTTATCTAAGGAAAAATATTCTTCAAATAATATTTTCTAGAGGTGCCAATGTATAAGATTTTGCACCTTTGTTTAAATGTAGCAATTCTTTAGATTAAACGTTCAACTACAGCCTTGTCCTTTCACTTTCAAATGGGTTTCAATTAATTTTTCATTTTATCTTCTATCCTGCCCTAATTAATGCCAATTAAATTTGTCTTGGAGGGGGTGCGCGATAGACTTACCTCCACGTGGTGCACCCTGGGCAACGTATACTCATACGGCAAAAAAGTCTATTAACCGGCATCTGACTTCAAACTACCACAACCCCCCTGGTTGTCATATTCGACCCCTTTCACAGAACCCACCTTACCTTTTTCTCTACCTATGTGTCTGTCTGGCTCTTTTACTTCTGTGAATCGCTCTTCTGTTCCCCACCCCTCGACTTTCTGCTACTTTGATGAACCTTCCCTCTGTGAAGCCCGAAGTCAGCTAAAAGGCTAATGATATCTATCAAAACGCCTGTCATTTGAAATAAATAAATAAATTTGTCTTGGAGTTATATAGTATCTTAACCTTTTCGTCTTATTTTAAGACTATACTGGTGTCGATTCATTACCGCCACCTACTCTCCATTCAACTATCCTCAATCTAATGATCAGGTAAAACAATTTGTTGAAATTCTTATTTGGACAAGTTAAAAGAGCTTGTTGACTCATGCTTTTACATTTGCATTTCCTGCATTTAAATTTAAAGAAACTGCAACCAGTTCATAAAAATTTCACATTTGTCGAAAACCCCTGGACGATCCACAATATTATTCTTCTAAGGTTCTCGGCAATCTCCTTCTCTCCTAAATCGGTCCAAATGTCGCATGATTAGAGAGTATCATCAGATCTCTATGCGTTATCATGCCAATGACAAGGCTTATATGCACTATCTGTTATATCTCCTGCTCCAATAGACAATAATGACGTTCTTTCCCTTTGTCTACATTGAAGACCTAAGTCCGTGAAATCAGCACATTAATCAGCATGGTCATTGGTGCGACTATTTGTTTTGGCGGCTATACACATTTTGCGTTTATAGATGGTGACACACTTAACATTTTTACTTCTTGTATCATCGATGGAGACAACCGTGGCGTGTTTATCTTTTCATGTACGATCTTAGCAGCCCAAAGTATTATTCATTAGACTTGAGGATTCAATTTTTCGAGTTTCTAAGATACTATATTCCACCTTACACTTATGGTACCTTGTTTGGTCCAGGAAACAACATTAAAATGTTTGCTAAATATACTACTGAAATCACATTAATTTCTACATTTACTCAATAACAGGCCTTCATTTATGTTGGAAATTTTGTAACATGGGATGGTTTGATGTTCAATAGTTAGAATATTTGAATAAATTCATACGTTCATTTAAAGCTGTACTAAGTTATAATGTTGAAAGGGAATGATGTACATATTAACTGAAGGAAAAGCACACGGTTACTAAATGGAAAATCATTTCTTTTCATACTTGCTTAAAAGCACGTCTCAGTGTCACACATAAAATTGGTCAGCAAAAATGCGTGGCTCGAGGCAATACGTACGCACTTTAGTGTCCCCCTGGCCCTAGACTTCATTATGATTCATCTAAAACCTCCTGCCAATTTGATTGGTCAGCAATGATTGCTTGAAGCAGAAGGCATCTCTGAAAGTTTTGCAGCACTACACATTTTCATATATCAGCGTCTAACTTTCTTAACGGCCATAAACTATTTGTCGTACTTCAAGGTGTTAGCGAGAAAAATTTTCATTAAGAAGCCTAACTATCCGAATCAAAACAGTGTGAGTTTGACGTTGAAATTTTCATTTAAATTGTTTTTAGTTGGTGGCAAAGTAAATTATCAGATTTTACGTTACAACTAATTAAGCAGAAAGTACCTGAGCAGCTGAATATTGAAATTTGCGATTCCTAATTAGACTGCATCGTATATGCTCTTTTCAAACTGTTTTCGAGATTATCATTTGCCGACTTCTTTTACATTAACGAAAAGTATTGTCGCGTGGAACATAAAAAAGGTTTGAAATTGCTTTTTTATCAATGATAGCTATGTGGACCCCACTCGTTTACCATTAGTTTCCTCCGCATAGAAATTATGTTCTCAATAAATGTAAAGGCACCAAAAAAACAATACTCCTTTTTAAAATCGCTATTTTCATTATGTCATTGAAATTTAAACTAAAGCACGATTTGGCATTGCATCATTAATCAAGCTATTTCACCATTAAATTTGAAGGCACAATTTTTTATAATTATCAATTATTACGAAGCACGGTTAATTTTATTTCCATTTTTATGTTGTCATCACTGCTGTGGTTAGACAGTAAGCTGCTTTGTAAGCTTTGCAATTTCCTGAAATCTCTCCCAAAGTCCCCTTAATCTTACTTCTATTTTCTTTGATTAGTCATTCAATTTTGTTGAACTATCAGAGGCAATAATAATTATTACCGTTAATGATAACTTCTGCGTTGATTCAATTCTGGTATATTCAATGGAAGAATGTCAAAACATACAGGTATAATATAAACCGGTTTCATGCATTTAAACAAATAAGATTTCAAGGTTTCCTTGCTATTTGTTCTTTGCTTTATCAGATTAAAATGACATTACTTCATTTTTTGTTTTCAGGCTAAATTTCGCATATTTTTCTAGTTTTCATCCAAGAAACGTTCAAAAAATATTTTTAAAACTAATTTAATTCATATCTGTGTTTTTTAACAGCCTGTTTTTTTTTCATTTAATTAAAAGTGAAGAGATCTGAACCTGATTGTATATATCCAATGTTTATAAATTAAAATAGTACCGGTTAAACAAAACTAAATGCGTGAAGTGGGATTTTACTTTAAATTCAAATTTTTATCATTAACAGCTTCTGCTCACTTCGAAGGTCCATATACCTGACAATGTTCAGTTCATGATGCTAAAAATTGACTGTTCCAAAACTCTGAAAAAGGATTAATCTTGAGCCATACGGGACTGCCTCAACAGTCAGAGCGCTCTGAAGTTACTTAATCGATTAGCATCTTAATTAAGTTAGAACTTTCGGGTAGAAATCATAATCGAGAAAACATACTTTTGCATTTTCGGCCATCAAAATCTGCATAGTTATTTATTTGCATCTTATAAGATCATAGCAATTTTTTATAAATGCTCATTCGTTTAATATAATTTTGTGCCGCAGATATCGATAATATAATCGAGAATCTAAATAACTTTAAAAATATTGATGATTAATTTCGTGATAATTTCCTTAAAATTAGAAGCTGCATGTATGAGTTGACGAATCACTATTTTGTTCAAGACCTAAAACTGAAATAAATAAACTAACTTTAGAAATGGCTTTAAACTAAAATATAAATAATAATTTATTTTTAAAATATTATCCCCGTTGCTTTTAATTATACTTTACAACTTAGTTAAAATTCATTTGTTCTTTTAGGCATTCAATTTGTTTTAATTATCTCTGAAAAGTGTAGATGAAATTCAAACACCCTTCCTTTCACTTGCAGGCGATAGGCGTAATATGTCTGCATGTAACACATCCGTGCTTCTTTACGATAAAAAATGTCTTGCTAGAAGGGATCCGGAGGAACAAAGCTTAAAGCAGATTCAACTCGGGCTTCTCATGTCCCACCATGGTCAAATAGAACCACTTCCATTCGAGACTGTCTTTTCCCCTAGGTAATTATGATTGTCTTTTTGAAAACAAAAATTTTCCGAAGAAGTTATTTTGAACATATTTCTATTAATGCTATAGTCGAAAAGAGCACATTCAGAAGATCGGCCTAGGATTACATAGTGAAGTATTTGGATTCACTAATGAGAACGTAGCTGTCAAATTAGTACCTTTTGGAGGAGATAAATCATTTCACAGTCGACCACAAATGACAATTTCTGAAGTGTGCGCAGAAGTAGAGATAACAAAAGCGATTTCCAATCTCCAAATAAAAGATGGAAGTGAGAGCAGTTCTCCAAATCTTGCTGATATACATCGAGTCACGGTTTTACAGGGCCAAATACCCCAGTACCTCATTGACGCAAAATGCAATTGCAAAATTCCTATCAGTCTTCAGTTTACTGAACAAAGTAAGTACGAGTTAATATATATAGTATTAATTCTTAAATAGATGAATTTACAGCAGAACAGTTATGGGTTGCTCTTGAGTTCACTTATCGTGGAAAGGCACTAACGGACAACTGGGTAAGTTACATACTTATATTTTAGCTTTCGTTGTCTTGACGTTAGACAATTTACTAGATTTCTTTGCAATTTAGCCATCTTGTGGAAAGGCTCGACTTTCTGTTCTTGCTCAAGTAGCCCTCGCTTTAGCCGTGGGGGAGAGAAGAATTCAAATGGAGCATCGAGATCTTCACCTTGGCAACGTACTAATCAACCGAAATATTTTTTCCAATGTGAAAGAATGTGAACTCCTTCCTCCTCAGACTTTCGTTGATGGAGTAGCCTTCCACCCCTTAGCCGGTCCCTCTACTTGTATTGTTGATTTCGCATGTAGCCGTCTTCATAATCGTAAGTTTTAGGTGTTTGTCCACTATTTATCGAAGAAATAAGCAGGTGGACTATTATTTGTTGCCACCATAAAATTATCACCAGGTAATGGATAAATGAAATAGCACCGAAAATCACCTATATTAAAACACTAAAAATCTGTCTAAATACCCTCAACTAGTGGGTGATTATGATTAATTGATGGACTGCATTTCAGAGACATCTATTCTCTTTAGATAAGTGAACTCAGAACAATTACATTTTGTGTTATTTTCAGGAAACTTCACGCATTTTGTCGATATGACGGACAAGTGCAAACGAATTCGGATCAAAGACGGACCAATTGGAATAATGTATGGTATTATGCAGGATATTACAAAGTGAGTTATGCTCCATGCTTTGTTCTTGTTTGTAATTTTCCTAATAAATTCATAAAATTGCATTTTCCTTTTTAGTGATCGATGGGATTGCTTTCACCCTATCACAAATATCTACTGGTTAACTTTCCTTACTTTGTGGCTATTGGACTCAGATAAAGTCCATAACTGTGATATTCACTCTAATTTCAACTTAGATTTAACAAAACAACTTGTGACACACTTTCTTGGAAAATGCAGGTCAGCACTGGAATTTGTAAAAATTGTGAAGCGAGATTGTAATGAATTGCTTTTTAAATAGATTCCCAATCATTGAAAACATGTTCACGCCAGCACTTTGCAAATGTTCTCTTTGCTACATAGGGGACTCTTCACAACTTCTGTCATTGACTTTCTTATTATCAATAGACAAGATGTTTATATTGATTTGTAAATAGTTGTATACTCTAATAAGTAATTAAATATTATTGAATAAGAATAGGAGGAGCTTGTTCATACAATTGCACGATATCTGAAAAAAAGACATAAAAAAGGTTTTATCGTAAAGGCAGAAAAAATTAAATCGGTCCTATACACTGAAACCATAACTGTTATGCAGGTTGATAGACAAGAAACGAGCCATAAACCACTATATATTGAAATTATCAATAAACCATATCAGATGATAAAGGGTGGTGTGAGTTTAATGGTTGAACTTGTTGGCTATAAAGAGTCATTCTAAAACCAATATGAAGATTATTCCCATGATTCTTTTTATAAATAGCATAGTAAAATTGCAGTATCAATATGAAGATAGACACTTTAAAACATGTTTCAGTTCAGTTTGTGTCAGCACACAGTGAAGGAAATGATCCCGCGTTTTTCGGAGTAGACAACTTTTTGAACATTCGTTAAGAGCAATACACTTCATTTTATTGTTTAAGGTAAAATGCCCAACCTCAAACCAGAGAGAGATCACGTAAGACAGCCCCAAATTCTACTCTTCCTTCATCAGGAATTGAGTGCCCACAAGGCTACTACTAAAGCCATTAGGGAAATATATGGTCAAGCGCTTACACCTCGCTAACGTCAATTTTGGTTTAGGAAATAGGAAGTCGAATGTTGATCCAAAATCGTGACCATCTGCGAATGTTGATGGCGATGTGTTAAAAATCCCTGGTTGAATCAGATCCCCGGTAAACATTGAATAATTTTCATAAAAATCCTCATGCCCATGATCAGCTGTGCAATTACACTAAAAGAACTTGGGTCAATTGTGAAATATTTTCTCCTATTCAAGCACCCATTTTATGATCTAAACAAAAAGCCAGGGTTGAACCTTCGGAAATTTCTTTCACATATTTGACGAACTTAATTGAAATTAGTAATTAAAAATTACTAAAAATAAGCTAAGCAGTTGGATTGAGAGTTTTTTGTCAATAATTGGGAAAAGTAAATCAGAAATCAAAAGCTAGATGTACAAGTTGATTGTAGAAAAAAAAGATAATTTTCAATATGACAATGTCTAGCCATCTCACGAAGTAAGAATGGCCTTGCAAAAGGTCCAGGAAGTCAATTGGGAGGTTTTATTATATCCTCTATAGAAGCCGGACCACACCATCCACCCATTAATCACATTCTAAGACGATTTCGAAATACGACTGAACACGGAGACCACCCAATTATAAAAATAGCACGTATTTTATCTCAAAATGGGGTCGTAGAGAGACAAGAGAAGTGAGAATAGCTGCAATCGATGGTGAAAAATCCTTTATGGCAATGTGCACACAATTGAATTTTTGTGTGCTTTTAAAATGAGCAAAAGTAAACAATCTACATGATTTTAACATGGGGGGTTGCATGGGATAATTCTGTATATCCATTACTATTGATTAAGATTACTAGTAAATTATAGGCAGACTGAAACCACAATGCATATGGTGGGGACACTCAAGATTGTACACTTTAGTCTGCTTCTCCTTAATCATAAGCAAATCTGTTTATCTTAAAACAGATCAATACTGCCCGCCCAAAATTTTCAAATGACTTCTTCCTAATTTAAGTGACCGCAAAAGAATGAACGTTTAAACATAACTAGTCGGTAACAGCAACAATCACTAAGTGAGAACTTGAACTAATGGCTGAACCACTTAATGCATTTCAAGCAGACATGACTCCAGTTGGCATTGAAGACTAGGCTGTGTGAAATTACCAAATCAATAAGAGAGTAGAAAATGTGGGTTCTCAAATATCGGAAGGCTTCGTTTTTCTCCAAGAGTATGAACCAAAAGTGGATACGTATTTCAAAAAATATTTTTATTCTGCATAAAAATTACAAAAGGTGAAAGAAACAAAATAAGTTTAGAGTAAAATAGGGGAATAAATAATTTTGCTTCATTTTTTGGCTACTTGGTAAATTCAACGAGTTGATTCCATATTACCAATTTTGCGTTGCGCAGGCCGCTCAGTATACAAGGGCGACCAATCGCATTACCCCAAATCATAGCAAAAATAGTCGCACCTGCTAACATGAGTACCAGAGAGGAGAAGAATTTGTAGGCTGGATGACACACTGGAACGGCGGTCCCAAGAACCAGAAAGCCCACAATCAAGATAGGTGCTACTATCAAATATCTCAACTTCTTTTTCCCTTCTAATTGAATCTGTTTCTCAATTTCTTTATCGGCTGCAATCAAAAGGGCTTCTAGAGATTCTTCAGAATCTACTGGAGGATGTTCTAAAAAGCATGATTAGTTTTTTTCTGAAAAATAATAAGATTAAACAATTAAAGCTAGGTTTACTTAAAGTACAAATGAAAATAGCATATTTCAAATTGTTTAAATTAATTAAACTAACATTTATAATAGATTCTAAATATGTTGATTTAAACTATTAGAATTTAATTAAATATTCCAAATTTACCCTCAGGAATGGGATTTTCATGCTTTCGAATAGTAAAATCTCCCTTGATGAAAGCGTGATCGGAGTAGAAAAGGCCAGGCTTATTTGGCACCTCCAACATGCTTACTTGGCATTGCTCACACTCAACCGTTACGCCTGAAACCAATTCAAAATGATGGTGGCAAGTGTACTCAAATTATAATTAGATTTGAATGAGGTAATCGTAAGTTACTCAATGAAAATAGCTTAATTTGAAAAAGTCAGTTGAGATTATAAATCGATATAATTAATACCGACTTACTGAGGCTTCTTATTTAGTAAATAATAGTACTATTACCACAAATAAGAACCTTCAAAGTAAATATGGACTATAAAATTTTATTTGAAATCAACTTAGAAAGGCGTCAATAGCATGGAATCTACGAATCCACTTCCGCTTCTGATATCAAAATTTTTCAATCATGTCGGTTGAACAAAAACTCAAATTTCAACGGTGTCCATGAAATATTAGTAAAGTGCCAATAATAAAAAAGAAATAAAGTAGATTTTAATTATGCTATTTTCCTAAGATGTAGTATTTGCTTAATTTATTTTCTCATATTAAAACAATATTTCCCTCTGGCACCTGTAATTTTAAACTGTTCCTTTTTTATTGAACTTCATTTTAATGTTCTCTTGAAATCCTCTCATCGATTACGCTAGAAAGCTACGTCTTCTTCATGGCTGCATTCAGGTGATTCCTTTTAAGTCTAGTCTTTCGGGGCTTCAATGATTTCATTGGATACATTATATTAGCCGTTTACTTTGCTGTCGTCCATAATTTAAGGAGAATATCCATCAGTACTTCCCGCGTTGTTCACACCCCACTTTCGATAGAACGACATTCAACTATCACTTTTGGTAAATAAGTGGAATCTATATTCTCTACTTAAATAGTTTAAATCACCATCAGTTTTGATTACATTGCTCTACCTACAACAGGATGCAGCGTCTGTTATTCAACTTCTTTTGTTTTCATTTGCTCTGAACTCTCCTTTTACAATCGTTTCATCAAATTCAATTCGTTCAACCAGTCCTGGTCCATTCAAATCGATTTTTCAATAAATATTTCGTTTGAATTTGATGATTATCATGGTAGATATGACATTTCGGTTCACTTCAAAATTCAAGATGCCACCGAACAAAACTATTTGCAATCACTTTTGTATGAAGCAGTACTCTATGAGTAAATCATTAAAACAGGTTGTTTCCAATTGCAGTTTGACCCCACCAACCGTTGATCTACACAGTCGCATACTTTCGCATAGTCCTATCACTGGCCTGTTTCTGGAGTGAATGCTCAGTGATTTCGAGAGTTCACTAGTTTGAATTCAAGGAATATGTTTTCACTTATAAATTCTTTTTCATCCGTGATATGGCTTCCTAATGTCATAACCTGCCACATCGCGCATATGTGAGAGTTAAGCGGACAAAATCGAAAAAAATGAAAAAAGCAGTCGGGGCATGTTTTCTCTGGGAATTCTATCGACTCGGATCACAAAGCTGTACTCACCAGATTTCTGCTGAATCATGACAATTGAAATCCAATTACATGCATTCATCAACAAGATCATCTAATGCAAATTCATCAGTTTCTTCACCCATTCCGAGGACTAGAGGGCAGACAAAATTTTTAAAGACCGCACAAAAACAGAAAATACTTTAAATAATCCTGCGAAATCTGAGAACTTAAACAAAGGTCACCCAGTCTTCATCATACTCTTAGACGAGTATATGATATTTAATGCTAGAAAATACTCAAATCTCCATTCTTTTGATTTTGGATGGCTTTTAAGTCACAGGAATATATTCCAGTTTCTCCAGTGGAGAACATAAAGCTCACATGGCCGAGCTAATATATTTCATGAGCACAGGAACATGCTAAAACGAGCGGTGTGCTACTTATTCCGCAGCCATCAAGTGCGGTCGTGTCATTGATCACGTGAGGGAGCGTAAGCCCAGAGACCTCTGCGTCAATTGTCAATCAATAGTCACAGCATGGTTAGAGTAGCCAAAATCGAGCTTGATGACTAAACTTCGTGTCAAATACACAGAGCCTAAATAAACTCGTTCCACGTCAAACTTAGAGTCCATTTAGGGCAACTTGGCATAGGCATGTTCATGTTGTAATCCACTACACTCCTGATTCTAGAGATCTATTTCATTCTGTTCTTGCTAGTTCATCAGAACGAATTCGAATTCTCAACATTTCAAGAATATTTTCAAAATAACTATTCAAATCTTCAGAATATTTTAACTTTGCTCCACCTCCTTTTAAGAGCTACGGAGAATACGCCAGACATAAATTTAAAAAATTTTACTGTTTCAGGCGAAAATATTTAATTGAGTATTTTTCACGTTTGAATTCCACAATGTACCAACATAAATGAGACTTAGTGCGTTATGCTCATGTTGAATACTTTAAATATTTGTAATGAACTATGTTGCTATTAGTAGCATTCTGAAATTACTGCCTCTGAATAAATAAATACAATAGTAAGTTGCTCTTCTGTATTCACACACGAAAACTCACCTTGGCTACACAGTATTTAGGCTTTGAGGAAACATTTCAGCTAAAATATTATAATTTTTTCAGAAATTGTATAAACTTACGCTAGTTATATAAACAAATTAAGAAATTCAGTAAGCGAGAAATTGCATTAATTAGACGAAGGTAGGGTAGTACAAATAGGTATTTATTAAGGCATATCATATGGACAAGGCAAGAACGTTCGCAAGAACATGAGGCGAGAGCCAGTGCCCAAACTGAACTACAAATTCGGCTTTGGTTCAACAAGATTTGGAGCTTACTTCTGGCAATCATAGTGCTTATTATATCTCAATTTGCTAACAAAGGCACCCACATTCATTGGCCAAAAAAATTAAAACTCTGCCTGGTAGGATGAAATAAGTCCCATATTTTTTAACAGTATTCTAGAGTAAGGAAACCTATTCAAGGTAGGAGTGCGAGGAAATCTATAAGAAATCACATTCCACCGTCCCGCCAATTGACCAGAATTAACCAATGTTGTAAATCATTCGCACCTCTGGATGTGAACTGATGGGCACTTATTTCCAAACCTCTGACTAAGTAAAAGTGCTTGCTAATCACAGACATTGTCCCAAAAGTAACTCAATATTGTATATTTGTGTGCTTCTTTAAGTATAAAATCGATGACCTCTGACGCTCTTGACTACCACCACGTTTTTAGTATAGACAAGCGATAATGAGCATCTTACTAGAAAGACCATTTTCAACTATCCCCGGGCGATAGAAGAGGTAGTCCAATCGAACACCATTTCCATAGTGTTCGGTCCACTTTTTGTTGGCATAAGGACAGTCCGCTCGTTCGCATGTTGCTCCCTCAAATTCCATCGATTTGACATCTGTCACTGGGCGTCGCACGGTCTGAAAAATAATTGAAATGTGAAAGGCCCAAATTACTAGAAATAATAACAATTGGAAGAAAACAAAATGAATTTTAATCGATACATATGCATTAAAAAGTAGAAAAACCACCTCGATAGCAATGCGAAACAAATTAGAATGCTGCTTATTTAAAGTATTTAATTTGGCTTACTGTGAACCAGATATTAGCTACTCTTAAACTATGTATTTGTTAAAGAACGAATGCTTCGCACTATATTGACTTTTTCGACAGCTGACAAAAATTTGAATTAAATATTTGACGTTACAGAAATCTACCATCGGCTATGTTCAAGTTACAAAAATGGTCATACCGAATGAGCTAATTTTGCAGAGTAAGATCGAAAGTACTGATTTGGTAATTAAAGCTACTCTTTTATAGAAAATAAGGCAAATCACTAGGAAATTACGCATTCTTATATGCATCATATTTAATGAGTTATTGGCAAACTTGCAACAATTATTGAAATTATTTTTTTTATTTCTCACATAACTGCACAAAACTCGATGCGTAAGATGGCAATAAATGAAGACTAGGAAATAGCAAGGCTCTTGTTCGTTAATTCAGGCAAAATTAACATAAAAAATTCATTTTTTCCATAGTGAGAACAAATTAACAAGAATTAGAACATAGCTAAAAGCTACAAACAATTCCAAAAGAAAAATTCAATAAGTATCGTAGATCAAAGTTCAATTAATAAACCGAGATGAGGATTCGATAAGGTAATGGAGGTGATGGAGAGGAAAGATGAGATAAGAAGCGTGACCATCTGTGAGCCCTCTGGGCAAGGCTGCGTGTGGGGATATAAATTAAGGTTTACTTTTGAATGAAATGGGAAATTTATCGAAGGAAAAACGAGATTTGATAAACTTTTCTAGGCGCAACAGATAGCGACATGAATCAAAAAAATGTACAGGCGGAAAAAGGGAAGATAAGGGATGTAAGTAAAGCGAAATTAGCGTTTACTCATTGGGTCATCTTTCAATATAAAATATGATAATTTTTTTATCGGATTCATTCAAAATTAGCAACGACTGTTACCTGGTCAAGCCACGCGTCCTTGAGCCCAAGAGATCGCTTCATTAGTCGAATTGCCGTAGTGTACGGTTCCAAATTGAGGTCTCCAGCAATAAAGACGGCATCAGCTGAACCGGCTGAGGCTCTGACAAATTCCATTAGTTCGATTGCTTGTGTTAGTCGATGCCCTTCTACGAGATCATCTTCGTGTTTCAGTTGGTACCGCGCATGAGTCTATGAAAAGAAAGTTAAATGTTTCTCAACTGTCCATACTTAAAGAAAATAATTGATTCTAATGGGATTTATTAACCGGTTCGTAGTATTTAGCCGCACTTTTGTCATCTAGGAAGTCACGGGTTCGATTCCCATCTTTTCAAAACCAGTGAATGGAATGACAAACTTCAATGTTGAAGTTTTTGACAGACGTCGATGACATCAATTTTTCAAGAGGAGAGTTAGAAAAAAAGCCTTCTTAAATGAACTTGGGAATGATTGCTACTTTCAAGTTCAGATTAAATCTAAAATTAAATTATTATGAATGTATTTGAGTTGTGTAGATTCCGCTAAAATGATTCGAAAGAAAATTGATTATAGACCGAGTTATTAAGCATGAATTGCAGACGGAATAGAAATTTCTAGATTTTAGCATATAGTATAACAAAGTGGCATTATGTTGAAGAGTTTAATCATAGTGCAGCACTATAGAAGAACACTGTGTTTCAACAAGTGGTCAGTTTTAACTAGTGTAATAGGCCGCTTAAGTTATTGAATGCTGACGTTCAACCCATTCCATCTTTTTATGGTACCCTTTTCAATAAAATCATATGAATAGGATTTCGCTTGTGTACACGCAGATGCGCTAGACATTTACCTACTTCGTTTCTCTGATACCTCTCCATTACCTTTCGATTCTTCATGGTGTTTTATCCAATACATTTAGGCCTATACAACTCCTAGCTTCCTGCTTGAACTGGAATTGTGAATGTCTATCGCTTACCCTACTTAAATTCTTTCGTGTGAATTACGTTGTAAGTTTTTTTCCCATCGCTGTGGGTAATAATAAATACAAATAATATTATGGGGGAAATAAAATACAGAAAAATAGGCTAACATGAGTATTGTACAAATTGAGTCGAAATCCGCGTGGAGTGATAGTTGAAGCATAGCCCATCGATTTTCCCGCTGGCCAATCAGCTTGATGGATGTAGTGGGGATAACCGTTCACAGAGTAAGGTAACGTCATAAAAGACTCTAAGGGCCATTTACAAAATATGCAAATCCCAGCTCCAAAAAGTTGACTGAAATCAGAAAAATACTTCAAAAATCATCCAATTTTTAAGAATGTAACATTAATTGTAGATATGAAAATACAATTATTAAATTTCACTTTCTGAAATAACTGCTGCAATTCACGAATAAACAGAGGTGGTGTAACCAAACGCAGAATTAATAAAAGAGTCTCAAGCCTTGAATATTTTAAACAGGGGAATCAGCGTATGAAATTGAAACACTAGGCAATAATTGTTTTTCAATTTAAGTCTTTATTCTCAATAACATTGCCTCACTTTTCTCAACTTAATTTACTAGACCACTTCACTCTTAATCACATGCACTGAAGGAAGAATATCACAGAGAATAAGAATAGGACAAATAAATACCACTTTTCAATTGAAGTCTATGTGTGGTTTATTTAACCCCGTATATAGAATAATCGTTTGAAATGGGAGTGAAAAGAAAAGATTAGCTAATTTATCAACTAAAACTGAGAATTCGGGGAATAAAAGATTGTCACCGTCGTTAGAATTGCAAATCATCCGTTCTCTTCATGCGTTTTCTAGGTTCATTGAATTGGAAATGGTAACATGATCATTATAAAATGTAAGTAAAATTAAATGAACTAAATTAAATTATGTTGTTAATTAAACAACACGATAAGTTGGTATTAATAACAGTTATGTTTTACGAAACTATGAAGAGTCCGCTAAAGTTTGATTTTAAGGTGGCACTTCAATTAAAAATATCAAGTTTGACACATTACGAAACTTCAAAACGAATTCACTGAAAAATTTGCAATTACTTTAGCAATTTACTAATAGTGAGTGAGCTAACGAAATAAAAAAACATACGCTAAAAATTTTATCGAATACGGATGCGTATAAGATAGAGAGGCTTTGATTTTCTCGTAGTCATTTTGAAGCCATACTTCCTGGAGAAAGATAATATCGCAGTCACATTTTCGAAGCATCTCACCTATTGCGTCGAATCGAGCATCTTTTTGTACAGTCCATGGTTTAAAAAATACGCCCCTATTAGGATTATTTGATACATATTTGTATATTGTGAAGAACTTACCAACAATTAAGTGTAAGAATTTTTATTTTTTCAATGTCCCCAGAACTTGAGTGCATGTCTGTAAAACTAACCAAATTGAAAATAAGTCATTTGTACATGAACACATGTATGTCAAAGAATAGCGATAAAACAATGTGTGTCATTTAACCACTTACTATAAATTTTATGCCATCCAAAAATGATAAAAATAAGTAGTCATTAAGGAGCTTATTGAACTATTCGCTAATGTTAAAGCAAAATCAAAGCTATTTATGTGAGAATTTGGACAACACATATCCGCTATCAATAGGCCATACCTTCACCCGATTTGTCCTTGAGATCAAGTTCAGCGGTTGATATAGAAAACTACGTCAAATTGAATTAACTATACAAGTATATGATTTAGTTCAGAATTAATTCAAAATATATTTAAATATATTTAAATAAAAAATAAAAGTTTCTTTTTACGAAGGTTCAAGAAGGAAAACTGGAGGTAGATTAATCTTTATCATAAATTTAATATTTTAATAACCGAAGTTAATAACGACCGCTACGCCTATCTAGAATTTGGATGAATGAGTAAATTTTAGCATTCTTTTTTTTGAATTTATGAATAATTTCAAACTTTAGTTAATATCTTCAATATTTGCTTTTAAGTAAAATATATAAGCACAACTAATCCGACCATTAAGCCCATTTAGAAATATAAGATTCCACATTTGACTTATTTAAAAGTATAAATTGTCCATCACCAAGGGAACAACATGTTGTAAAGTTATCAACCGCCATGCCTGGGCTCACATAGCAAGATTTTTCTGAAGTTCGGTCTGAGCACACTAAGATCATCGCCATTACTAATAATAAGTTAAGAAGAAATAGGCGAATGTGGAACAAACGGTTTGCTTTATTTTCTTATTTCACTTAGGAAATATGAGCAAATTATTTCCAATTTAATGTGGAATAAGAAGAAATGGATAAATTTTAGGACATAAGAGCTTTAAGTGGGAAAATTATATTTTGGACTATTCTGTCCCATAGGACAAACAGCCCCTCTGATCAAAATCAGTCAACTAGATATTACTTAACTTGACCAATTTTATTATTCTATTCATACTTTGCCTGTTGGGAGGATGCTACATTTATAATGGCATGTCAACAGTTGAATATGTTATTTTCCGCATCAAGACACAAAACTATACTATTAATGACTTACCCCCCCC